GGTATCTACCTAGTGCTACTACTACAGAGTTTTCCCCCCCTGGTGGCAACCGTAAGGTATAGTCTGCAGATTATGAGGTAGCACAATCAATCGGATATCTTCTCGAGTTGCATGATGCAGGTCGCTTATTACCATCCTGGCCAATATGCAGCAAAAGAATTGTATACTCCTAGTAATCACATAGAATACCATCAATCTTCAAATAATCAGACCTATTGTAAAGAATCCGTCAATTCTGTTCGATCTACCTCCCTGATGATGCTCTTATCATATCACCCGCATTAAGCTGCTCCACAGTCCACTCGCTTTTGCTAGGCTTTCCCGCCGGATCGGAAACCCCTCTAATTTTCAGCCCTCCCCCGTCATTCTCCGCCATCGCCATCACCACTAAGTATCTGTGCGCCAGTCATAGATTTGAGTCTTACTCTCCTTACAACCTCTTTTCCTCGTGAGTCTAGTTGGGAGATATCGGATACCTCCAACAGAAGAAGAGACACTGAACTCCCTTGGCCATGGCGGAACCTACCCAGCAGACCGAAACCGTAACCGGTTTCAAGCCCTTGTCCAACGCAGAAGAGTATTCCCTCCCTGCGACGGCCAGCGATTTGTCTCCACGTGCAGAGGCAGCTATGGCGAATGGGCTTCCCTTAGAGACTGCCGACGAAGACCACGACGAAGAGGTGGACGAAGATTATGTCGCGGTCGACCCTGACGAGATTAGTGATTTCTCGTATTGGCTCCGGCGCCCGCCTGTGCATCAGCGCACCAAATTGGATGAACTACATCCCTTTGTCCAAATCCTTACGGTGTCCAATGTGGACGACTGTGTCGAGGTTGAAAACGCTTTTCCAGAGAGCGAGCGCTGCTCTCGAGAGAAGGTGTGTTCTCCTGTCAGAAACTGCTGTATTAGTTAATCGGAATCCTCCTCCTGACCTTTTTCTGTTCTCTGCCAGTTCATCTACCGCCTCACAAAATGCCCTGAATTATGTCTAGGCCTATTCACCATTCCCATTGTACCGAAGGGCCAACCCAAGCCGCGTCCGACTTTGATCGGTCATATCATTGCCACGCGAACCTCAACACAGCTCGTCACAGATAATTCCATGAAGTTCCCGTCCAACTGGAGGAGTGCGCGCGTCGTTACGGAGAATGGAGAGATTATCGGACACGACGAGTATGGCAGCACAATCGCCATCCATTCCCTCGCCGTACTTCCGGAACACCAGGGCAAGCAAGTCGGGAGCACTTTGATGAAGTCATATATCCAGCGGATCAGAGAAGCCGCGATTGCAGAGCGCATCTCCATCATTGCGCATGACCATCTGGTGCCCTTTTACGAGTCTTTTGGGTTTGAGAGCCGTGGTCCCAGCAAGTGCCAGTTTGGCGGTGGGGGATGGACTGACCTGGTAAGTTTCTTCTTGGTTGATTAGAAGCTGTATGGCCTCCTCAGATTGCGAATGCTAACTGAATCAGGTGCTGGAATTCCCCCAGGAATAATCATGAGTTCATGACCAATGGTTCATCCTACTTCGAGTTCTGTATTTCGTGTCCTCGTTTCGGCAAGATTGATGGCATCTTTCATCTTTTTCTGTTATTCACTCTGTTTTCTATCTTCCCATTTCTTCTTACCCCCGAGGTTGCATGTTCATGGGTCACACTCTGGTTTTTGGTCTTAGATGGTGGGCTTTACGAGGAAAAAAGCAACGGAGTTCTGTCGTGATTCTGGGACGGAGGGACTGGGTTTTCAGCCATCTTATGTGTAACCATACTACCCATGATGATAGTCAATGTACATGATTATGATTAGAATGCAATAATTAGCCTTATTCTATCCTTTCTTTCTATATATAATCAAAAATTTATTATTCTCCGTGACCAGAGTCTCGCTACTTTTGCTCCCCACATCTACACTGTTCACCGCCCGCCAAAATCTGCCCGCCCGACCGCCCGCAAATAATTTTTTTCCCTCCGTCTATCAACAATACCTCCATCAGCTTGTCCACCGGGAAACATCGCAAGAGTTTTTCAAGTTCTGTTTCTCTTGCCGGTGCCCATCATGAAGACGACTTGGAAGGATGTAAGTTGTCTTGTTGATTGATATATTCGCAGGTCCTGTGTCAGAACAGCCAAAACTGATGGATTTTTCACCGCTTGCTTAGATCCCACCTGTGCCAACGAACCAAGAGTTCTTGGATATTGTTCTCAGTCGCACACAGAGACAGCTCCCTACTCAGATCCGTGCTGGTTTCAAGATCAGTCGTATTAGAGGTATGCCTGATTCCACAGGTGTTTTTTGCATGATTTTGTGAACGGATACCATATCCGACTGGTTTCTATGTCCTCAAAATGGAGTGGCACTAACGAAAATTCTCTGCGCAACAATAGGTTTCTACACTCGGAAGGTCAAATACACTCAGGAAACATTTTGCGAAAAGTTCCAGGCAATTCTCGATGGATTCCCCAGATTGCAGGATATCCATCCTTTCCGTATGTCGCTGCATTTATTTGCAATTTCTTTTTCTGTAACTAACATCCTCTAGACAAGGATCTGATGAACACGCTTTATGACGCCGACCACTTCAGAATCGCTCTTGGCCAGGTATCGACCGCCAAGCATCTCATCGAAACCGTGTCCCGCGACTATGTCCGCCTCATCAAATATGCTCAGTCACTGTTTCAGTGCAAGCAGCTCAAGCGTGCCGCCTTGGGTCGTATGGCCACCATCTGCAGACGTCTGAAGGATCCTCTTGTCTACCTGGAGCAGGTTCGCCAGCATTTGGGTCGTCTTCCTTCCATCGACCCCAACACCCGAACTCTCCTGATCTGCGGATACCCCAATGTCGGAAAGTCCAGCTTCCTGCGCAGCATCACCCGTGCCGACGTCGATGTCCAGCCTTATGCTTTCACCACAAAGAGTTTGTTCGTCGGCCATTTCGACTACAAGTACCTGCGGTTCCAGGCGATTGACACACCTGGTATCCTGGACCACCCTCTGGAGGAAATGAACACGATTGAAATGCAGTCCATTACCGCTATTGCTCATCTTCGCTCTGCCATCATGTACTTCATGGATCTTTCCGAGCAATGTGGCTACTCGGTCGCCGATCAGATCAAGCTCTTCCACAGCATCAGACCTCTGTTTGCCAACAAGATCGTCTTCCTGGTGGTCAACAAGATTGACGTCCGTCGTCCCGAGGATCTCGAACCGGAATACCAGGAGGAGATCCAAAAGATCCTCAAGTCCGGTGATGTGGAGATGCTGCAGCTGTCGTGCACAACCACCGAGGGTGTCACGGCTGTGAAGAACGCTGCTTGCGACAAGCTCCTGGCCGAGCGGGTGGCTCAGAAGCTCAAGTCCGGTACCAACAGCTCCGGGACCCCTGGAGGTCGTCTGGGTGACGTGCTGGCGCGTATCCACGTGGCACAGCCTGTTGGGGGCGTGCGTGAGGCCTTCATTCCCGAGGCCGTCAAGAACATGAAGAAATACGACAAGGACGACCCGAACCGGAAGAAACTCGAGCGTGACATCGAGGAGGAGAACGGCGGTGCCGGCGTGTACAACGTCGACCTCAAGAAGAACTACATGCTGGCCGACGACGAATGGAAGCACGACAAGATCCCTGAGGTCTGGAACGGCAAGAACGTCTACGACTTTGTGGACCCGGACATCGAGCAGAAGCTGGCCGCGCTGGAGGAAGAAGAGGAGAAGCTGGAAGCGGAGGGCTACTACGACTCGGACGAGAGCGTCGAAGACGTTGAGGACGCAGACAACCGCATGAAGGCGGATCTGATCCGCGAGAAGCGCGCGCTGATGCGCAACGACGCCAAGCTGCGCAAGTCGCTCAAGAACCGGGCGGCCATCCCCCGCAGCGCCAAGGCCAAGAAGCTGTCGCAGATGGAGCAGGCTCTGGACGCGGCCGGCTACGACGTCGACGCGGCCGCTGCTCGCGCCCGCTCCCAGAGCCAGGTGCGCGGCCGCACCACCACCCGCAGCGAGATCGACACCGGCGACGCCATGGACGTCGATGGCTCGGATCCTCGCCAGGCGATTGCCCGTGCCAAGAGCCGCGCCCGCAGCCAGCCGGCCACCAACCGTCTGGCCGACGGTGTGACGGACACGGTGGCCCGCAGCAAGGCCGAGCGCCTGACCAAGCTGGGCCAGAAGAAGATGAACCGGATGGCCAGAGCCGGAGAAGCAGATCGGCACACGACCGCCTCCTTGCCCAAGCATCTGGTACGTTTCCCCCTTAGCATTCCTTTTTCCTGTAATTCCGCTCATCCACTAACTTTATCACGCAATAGTACACCGGAAAGCGCACGATCGGCAAGACCCAGCGCCGGTAAAGGCATCCGCATTGCATTTGTGGTCCGGATCGAAGTCGACGATGAGACGAAGTCCATTCCTAATCTTAGTCGTATATTGTTCAGAACGGAAACGGGTGTCAAAATTCGGCGTTGGGGTCCTTTATCTGTGCTTTCATTCTTCCATTCCATTTTTTTCCCGCCTGATCTGATTGACACCGCTTGAATACCTACCGTATATCCCTAGAGTCAAGAATCAATTTCATTGGTATGGCATTATGCATGATAGCGTAATTAAAGTCAAAGATAGATCGTCGTATGTATTGTGCCAGCTATTAGACGTCGGTAGGGATTGCATAGTCGAGTTGTATACAGTTCTGCATAGACTACAATACTCAAGAGTGTGGTAGATTGCTAAACAAGATAAAAGTGCAAAAGTCTACTAAAGGGGGACTAGGATGTGGCTTGAATAAGAAGGGCACGCATTTACAATTCTTAGGGTGGATTCGTTTTCAAAAGTCATATGAGAATTGATATGTATTGATTGATGGTCTGAATGCTCCCATAACCGTTTGAACGCCGTATCTTTCGCAATGAGTATGCACATCAAGCGAACTAGAGTGTTTCATATGCAACATAAAGAAAATCTGCAAAACCCCCGTCCCCAAAAATACTGTACATGATTTGAGACGAGATATTTATTCCCGGATCTCGGTGGGCTCGTTGTGCTCAACCTCACCCTCCTGCTTCTTGTTCTCCTCGGGAGCGGGGTGCAAATCCCGGATGATACCCTCGGGGGGCACCCAGCTGCTGCTCTGCCAGGGCTTGACGTGTAGGACGTACATGGTGTCGACCTCCTCGAGGGTGCGGCCCTGGGTCTCGTTGACAAAGAAGAAGACGACAAGGACGGCAGCGAAGCAGCAGGCGGCGAAGACGTAGCCGTAGGCAAAGTCGATGGAGCTGGAGATGAAGGGGGTGAAGAAGGAGATGAGGAAGTTCCAGGTCCAGTTGGAGGCGGTTGCGATACCTATGCAGATGGCACGGTAGCGGGCGGGGTACAGTTCACCACAAATGGCCCAGACGATAGGACCCCAGGTGGTGGCGAAGCCGACGATGAAGAAGCAGGTGAAGACGATCATGGCAGCACCGGCCTGGGGAGTGTTGGAGGGATCCGCCAGGTCGAGAGCAAAGTGGCCGACGGAGGCCCAGATCATGAAACAGATGAACATCCAGCCAGCACCGACCATCAGACTGTTCCGGCGGCCAAAGTGCTCGACAACGTACAGACCAGGCAAGGTCATACCGAAGTTGACAGCGCCCAGGATGATCTGGGTGACGTAGCTGTTGTTCAGACCGGTGGAGGTGAAGATACTGTTACCGTAGTAGAAGATGAAGTTGGCACCGGTGAGCTGCTGCAGGGACTGCAGGGCAATGCCCAGAACGGTACGGTAGAACATGCGGGGACCGGTGAAGATCTCGTGCCAGGCGGCGACGCCGGCCGCTCTCTCCTCGTCCAGCTTGTCCTTCATCTCCTTCATCTCCTGCATAACCACACGGTGGTTCGGGCCAACGCCATATAGCTTGCACATGGTCTTGCGAGCCTCATCGACGCGGCCATGACGGTAGGCAAAGCGGGGTGACTCGGGCAGGAAGAGGGTTCCAATACCGAGGATCAGGGGCCAGGCAAAGCCAATGCCCATGGTGATACGCCAGGAGGCGGTCGACTCAATGGTCTCAGTACCGTAGTTGATCAAGTACGAGATGAAGATACCGAAGGCCACGAACAGCTGGAAGGCACTGACCATGGCACCACGGACCTGACGGGGAGCGGATTCACTCTGATACATGGGAACGATGCTTGACAGCGCACCGACACCCAGACCGGCCACCCAACGGCCGAGGGCAACCTGGTACCACTTGTCCTCGGTGGCCATTTGAATGATGATACCGACAATGTGGATCAGAGACCAGAAAGAGATGGAGAGCTTGCGTCCCATGCGGTCAGCGATGGGAGCAGCGACCAGAGCGCCAATCATGGTACCAATAGACAGCTGTTCGAGTGGTTAGCGAATAATGACGCGAAGTTTATATAGGATGACAACGTACAAGACCGACGATAAGACCGTTGCGAACGTTGCTGAACTTGTATGATCCGTCGGGCTGGACCTCTGCGAATCGTGTCTTGAAGTCATCCATGGTGGTGAAACCAGCGATCTGACCTATAGCGAAATTGTGAGCAATTGAAAACGATGAGACAACCATAGAGAAGATGACTTACCAGTTGCGTAACCGAAAACGAAACCACCCATAGAGACAACAATACCAAGGATGAAGGACCGCCATGTCAGATACTTGACGGGACTGTCATCGATGAGGTCAGTGTCCTTCTCCAGCGTCGAGTCAGCACGAGCAGGAGTAGTAGCCTGCGAGTCCTCATGCTGTTCCACGGCAGGCTTGCCGAACTTTGATAGTAGATTGGAGACACCCATGATGGCGGTTCTTCCAGAGGGAGAAAGTCTCACGGGGAATGAGAAGAGAAAGACAGGAGGAGGGCAAGAAGAGAAGAGGGGAGTGAGGGGAAATTATATACGGAGTCAGAGCGTTGAAAAGTCTTCATCCATCGGCAGTATTGACTTCCACCCGGGGTACGCCCATGGGCCAGAGGAATGGCAGGGGCACAACGGATGGGGACCCCATCTGGAAGACTCGGAAAGTGAATGAATCGTCGGGGATGATTGGACGGTATGCAACGACATCAGACAAGTGAAGCTAGGGGGAGCGTCCACCAGAACGAGGGGTGGTGTTCTTGGAAAATTCTAGTGGGGAGTGGAGAAGGGGGAGGCGAGGAGGAAGAGGAGGACAGGTGATTTCCACGATGTAGAGATTATTCATCAGGTTGTGCCTGGATAGGTCGGAAGTACGGCGTAAATTGGAGATCTTAATGACGGATGGATGTGATTGGAATGCGACGATGATGCCGATGGAGTCTGAGGACGTCTCCGACAGTCTGTGATGCCACGGGCAGTTCCCGATTAGGACCCCACGTGAGCAATAGACAGTTCTCAGTACAGAACTACAGTACTACACTTTCAATTACAATCTTACAGTTGTATAAATCTTGAATACAATTCAGACATACTGCCTGTATATCAGCTGCAGTATTAGCTGTTGCAAACTCATTTGAGGTTTCATTTTATACCCCTTCAGATCCCTTGATTCAGGATCCAGGCCAGCTGAAGTGCAGGGTCAAGCAGGGGATCCACTATCGGCGCCTCCCTTGTGTTTTATTTCTTCTTTTTTGTGCTGTATCATTGACTAAAAGTAAATTGTATTATTACAAGCAAGTCCCTCTCTCGGCTGCCTCAGCCAAGCGAAACCTTTCCAAGGTTGAGGTAGATCATGATTCAAGGCTTTAGAGCAGCGCCTACTTCGTAGCTTGTGGTTAGCTGACCACTAGATCGTTCGGTGGGGCCACCGGGAAGAATTCTGCTCATCGATCCCGAGAAGACGATGCCGAGAGCAAGCCAAGAAAGACAGCAGGAAAGAGTGGTGGAGGGAGGGAATGGTAGATTTATACCTTGTCAAGTCTGTAGATATGGATTCTAGTCACTACTATGACTCCAAGATAATATCTCAAGATCAATGTTCTGGGAACAGATAAGCAGAGAGTGTGCTGGTTCTGACTGACATGATTTGACATTTCTATCCGTACAGCAACGGACCGACCGATCGATCGGCACGCTCATTCGGACTCGGGATTGAAGATTTCGGTGTGCCGATTGAGCACAGCAAGCCCAGCCCGAGCCATGAAAATTTTGCACGTCTGTTTCTGGCTCACCGATGGTGGATCTGCATCATACTAGTTCATAGTGGGCCTTCTCGTACCTAGTCGTCATAGTGCTCAGTTATCTCTATCTCATTATGATTTCTCTGAACTCATGATGATTTTATTATATGTAGTCCGTCTTGTAGGACTAAACTATCTTCTTTTCATAAGAGTTGCTCTAACTATCGCAAAGCGCACGTCTCGTCCATCATAAATTGAAAAGAATCATTTCTCAATCACCAGACCATAATTCTCAGCCTCGTCTACTGATTCCTCAATGGGCCCACCACAGACCCATAAAAAAAAAATTCAGTCAACGGGGCGCATCCGTTGATCAACAGGCTGATGAACAATAACTAAAAACGACCAAGTACAGAATATGGCAATGCGATTTATATTTAGCGTCCGAAGTCTTCCGTAATACCCATCCAATCAATCTAGATGCAGGAACCAGGCGATCAGCATCATCGCCAGCCATTGAACTTGGGCTTTTCTCCTTCCTTCCCTGGTCTAAGTAGTCCAGATACTCAACCAAGGATCCATCTGACGTACCGTGCAACATGCAGGCTTCGGAGATTCACCGGTCTTTCTGGGATTGAATCTCAGGATGTAATGTTGATAGCTCGGCGATTCCAGATTAGTCGACTGTTTTAGACTTCGGTGAGACTCGGCATGCCGCTTCACTCAACTCGGTAAGTGACGGGCCGACTCGTGCAGTAGTGTTGACCGTCGTGTCTGTGATTGTGCGTGGCGGCAATATTCGCTGTTGAAGCTGTTGCGTCTGATACAAGTCTCATGACGCACTCTGCATTGGGTACACTATCTGAAAAAGAGCAAATGATCGTGCCACCTTTACAGTGTCGGACATTTATTGCATTGCTTTGGACAGACGTAGACAGAAGGATATCCGAGTCCGATGATGAGGCGTCTGGGATATACCAAAATGCAAGGATGGTGTGGTGTATACCATGGTTTGTAACTCTGTAGTTTCACTAAATCATTTGGCAAGTACTGGTTCGGTTCAGATGACGGTTCCTTCGAGTGATAAAGTGTAATGGACGCACAGTGTGGCATCTAGATTCTCTACGCTAACTGCTATATTGCTGGGGATCCAGACTCCTAGATGTTTATGGCAGCACACGAGATACCAGGATGAGTATTTACCGAAGGACCAGTGTTGGCTCTTAACCTCACCTTCTCATGAGCTTGTCCTTCGATACTCCATAGGCCATGACGTTGGCATCATCCCATCGGGCAAAAGCATGAGTGATATGATAAAGGCTTGTGCCATTGACCATGCTTTTACCTGTTGACCTCGTAAACTCGAAACGCTGGAAGATAGCCTACAAACCAAACTGGGTCGGCTGTCCCATACAGGGAATCCATATAGTGGAGCGTACTAATAAATCCTTTCGTCATTCATCCTTTTTCTGTGTCCTTCAAGGTTGGATCTTAATCCACATGCAGTCACCAACATCAGCTGTCTTAGTCAGTGTACATACAGTCTGAAGGTCAACCAATGCCCCGCCCTAGCTAAGTACTCTTCTTCCCCTTCTCCCGCTCCGCCTTACGCAAAGCACGCTTCCGAATGGCCTCGTGCATGGACTTGTTCTGGCCGACAACCAACTTGCCCATCGGCTGCATCACACAGGTCAAGAACCAGGCCATCAGACCATGACTCCAGTATGGCGAAGAGCTGTACGCATAGCCCGGAGACCCTCCATTGCGACCGATCTTGGAAAGCACAGCCTTGACAAAGGCCCGCGGGTCCGGGATCGTGGCGCTGGTCCGGCGCACTTTCGACATGGCAGAGGTAATAAGGTACGCCTGCACCAGCTCGACCGTGATGCCGTACGGCTCGAGCTCGGAGCCAAGAGACGTCGACCACTGCTGCAAGAAGGCCTTGCTGCCAGAGTACGTAGCCAGTAGAGGAGTGGGGAGCAGACCACCGAACGAGCCCATTGTCAGCACGAGACCGCGCTTGCGCTGCATCATGCCGGGGACGATCAACTGCGTAGCGCGCAGGGTGCCCAGGCAATTGATGGTCACAATATCCGTCATCTCGTCCTCGGGGGTCAACGCGAACGGGGTAGGGATGTCATGGCTCTTGCCGACGTTGTTGATTAGGACGGCGACGTCCAGTCCATCTACTATCGCCTTAAGTCTCTCGTAGTCGGCGTCGTCGTTTGCGGCAAAGTCCATCGCCAGGGTCTTGGTCTGCACGGAGTGTTTCGTGGTGATCTCCTCGGCTAAGGTGGCGAGCTTCGAGGCAGTCCGGGACACGAGCACAATGTTGAAGCCGGCGCGAGCGAGTTGCAGAGAAAATTCCTTGCCTAATCCATCCGAGGCACCTGTAACCACTGCCCAGCTACCCTTGGGGCCGAAGGAGCGGAGCTGACTTCGGTTAGTACGAAAGTGGCCTTCAGCATCAAGCGTAGTATTATTTAACGTACCGGTTTTCCTGGAAGCACAAACAAGCTCAAGAGCACTCTGACAAAAGTCAAAACTCGCGAAGCAATAAACAAGCTTCCCGTGGTAAGCAGGATTGCAGCGCCCACAGTCTGTAGGCCGGGCTCAAGGTTGAGCCCCCAATTGGACAAACAAGCTGTATACTTCGATAGGAACTCCATGATGAGGACCTCTCCCGTACTGACACCGCAGTTGTTAGGAAAAAGAAGCTTGTCGGCGGGAGAACAATGTTCTTGTCAATTGAAGGAGCGCGCCGGACGCGAAGTCGTCAAAATTGTTGGGAGAAAGGTCGTGCCAAGAGCGAACATCCTCGGCCCGTAGTACCTTGTACAAGAGCTTATCACTTTCTTACTGTCCGCTCAACGCAACTATCCCCACAAATATTCAACGGCATGTGAACTAGCCTGATATTCAATCATCTTATAGTAGGGATATCGAATGCTTATATATCAAAGATTCAATATCCCTCGTCTATGACGATTCGGTATTCAAGTTATTTAATGTTCCCTACACTTGGCTGCGGAGGGTGTGGGTATATATGTTCCTTTTGTATCAATAGTCCGCCGTACCTCGGGCCCCTTAGTCTGGTGTTCACCCTTCATCGTCCACAATGTAGAGGCATATACCAGACAGACTGCTCGCTGTAATCTAATCGATTTAATACCAATCGCATTTCCATCTACATAATGACCAGTCTCCTCTCCTACTTACCCCCTTTCGAGGGTCTCCTGCCCAAATGGCTCGTCCTGGTACGCGTCTTTACTGACTAGTCTCTGCTGTAAACAGAATCCCAACAGAATGACAACTGACCAATGCTTGCTGAACAGGTCTCGGTCGTCTCTGCAATCAACAGCCTCGAATCCTATCGCTCAGACAACTACGTCGCAACCATCTACAACGGCAGAACTGCTAATGGCCGCTCGTCCACGAGTCCTCTGTCCTCCCGCACCTTTGGCACCTGGACCTTCCTTTCGGCCGTCGTCCGGATGTACGCGGCCTACCACATCACAACTCCCGCTGTGTACGACCTTGCAATCTGGACCTTCGGTATTGCCCTTGTGCACTTTATCGGCGAGTGGTTGGTTTTCGGTACTGCGCAGCTCAAGGGGCGTTTTGTGAGCCCGTTGATTGTTGCGTCGTCGACATTGACCTGGATGTTGACGCAGAGGGAAGCTTATCTCTCTGCATAGAGTCTAAATAATGCTCCTTGGTCTTGACCTTCTCAATGGATATGATACCTCATCTACAACTTTCAGGCTTGATATGATATGGGTATTCCTAGCACTAACCTAATTGTTTATACAAAAGTTGCGTTTCCTCTTGATTCGTCTCATCCGTCCATCTTCTTCCTGTACAACTCTCCTCCGCAACCGCGTAATCTCGCAGCGGCTTGTTCAGGGGTAATATCACGTTGAGGCTCGGCCATCATCTCATAGCTGGAGTCGATTAGCAGACGTATCAAATGCGCGAATTGTAGAGGACCTACCCGACCAAGAATTTCCGCACGGTTGCGCTGCGCAGCAGTGGAGGGTAGAAATGCAGGTGCAGGTACGAAGACTCGATTTCCTCATCGGTGCCCTCGAGCGGCGCCTGGTGAATGCCCATGCTGTAAGGGAAGTGCGTCTCGAAGAGGTTATCGTACCGTCTGGTGATCTCGGCGATGGCCTCGGCCAGCTGGGCCTTCTCGTTCTCATTGAGGTCAACGAGCGCGCGCTTGTGCTTCTTGCTGACGATCATGGTTTCGAACGGCCAGGTTGCCCACCACGGGCAGACGACCAGGAACGCTTGGTTCTCAAACACGACGCGCTCCTGCTTCCGGCTTTCCAGGGCGGCATACTCTTCCAGCATATGCTTGCCTTGGTGCTCCCGTCGGTATTTCTTCAGCTGCTCCAGTTCCATCGCTGGCTCCTCAGGCAGCGAGCTGGTGGTCCAGACCTGACCGTGGGGGTGGGGATTCGAGCAGCCCATAGCAGCACCCTTGTTCTCGAAGATCTGCATGTACCGGTATTGCTCCTTGGGCTTGGACAAGCTGGCGAATGGGGAGTTGGGAGGGAGTGTGGTCGCAGGAGCCACGGCGGCCAGAGGAGACTTGGGCGATAAATGGGCCGAGTAGATCTCGGTCCATGCGTCAATGACAGGGACAATCTCGGCAGGCGACAAGTCTGCCAGGGTGAGGTTATGGGCCGCAGAAAAGGTCAACACATAGCATTTGCCCGTCACAGGTTCCGCCTTGAGAAAGAATGACTCGGCACCTAGAAGGATTGCGCATTAGCAACGGCCCTGTTATTTCCTCGCTTCTGCATCTGGGAACGCACTATCTCCGCCCTCAGGGTTATAAGAAGCCTGCTCCTCCTTGACGGCGCTGTAGTCGTTGACAAAGACAAACGTCTTCTCATACTTGGGATTGGTGTCTCCCTGCGCGCGCTTGTTACCTGGGCAGAGATAGCAAGCAGGGTCATAAGCGGGCAAGGTGGTCTTGGAGGGGCTCTCCTGCTGTCCTCTGTTTGCGCGACCACTTGGTCAATGATGTCTCGTCACTCAAAAATGTTTTTCCAACTTACTGCCACGGGCGCTTAGTCCTGTGAGGAGAAACTAGGATGTAAGATCCCCGGAGAGGGTTGAACCTCCGGTGTGAGATGTCGTCGAGAACGCTTTCCACCATTGTAGCTAATTGAGAGGTGTTCAACGAAAGACTGAACAGAATATGGGACCTGGAAATGAAAAGAAGAGAAGAAGAGAAGAAAAGAAAAGAAAAGGGAAAATGTCCAGTAGAGAAAGTGTTTCAATGTCATCTACCCAACCAGGAGGCCGGTCAAAGCGGCGGGGCTCCGGAATAGTTGTCGCGGGGTCTCCGCCCGGTCCTGTTTCCATTCACTGAGGCGTTCAGCGCGCGCTCGGCTGAATATGGCCGGATAGATCAGCGTTTCGGTCTGTATATAGCTGCTCTCTCTTAATCATGGTCACTGCTTGATGTTATGTCCTCATTTGAACCTGTTCTAGAGAGCTGTTATTGAGTCAAAAATCGAATCCATACCACCATGTCCCACGGAGTCAAATAACCCGATACCAGCGCAACCAATCAAGACATATGAGGAGAGCTCAAACTGGCCTCGGTAAAATTCAATTTAGCCTTGTTACTCCGTACCCTTGGCTCAATCACAAACCGGGCCATTTTCCTGTTGAAGAACGGGCAGCCGAATTTTTCCTCGCCGAGCCGAACACATCATCGCAACGGACTCGGGCTGACGTCAGTAGACTACCTAACGTTAGTAAGAGGTAGCTACGTAGTTAATAGGGGGCTTCGGATAAATGAGGGGTTCTGCTGATCTTATCAACAACGCTTATCAGCCACACCCTGGTCTGCTTTTGATATTCAAACTGTGTCTGTCCGTGAGATTGTGAGAGATCAGTCTCATGAACAAGGTGATCCTTATGATGCGCCATCATTCTTGTGGATGAACTCCGTCCAAACGCTGGGCTCCCCACGTCACCGAGGCTGGACTGGATAGCAGGATGGCTTCCAGCAAGACTTCGCAACTTCATCTCTACGCTCTGCCAAATGAGGTATTCCCCGAGGGATGATAACTTCGAATTCTTCCTGTAGACTAATATCCCTCATTTCGGGCTCTTAGGTCTTTGTGCACATCCTATCTCCCTTCTCCACCCGTGACCTGCTCCCTTTGGCGACCATCTCCCATCGCTTTCATGCCCTGGTCTTACGCATCATTCATTATCGCCTTCTGATAGCCGCGGCCCTGAAAGAGTACAAGCTTATCCTCGAATGCTTTCACCCAAGCTCTAAGCTTACCGAACCCCACGTGTTCTGCAAGTATCTCGGCACAGATGGCTTAAGCGACCGATATGAGGGGAAGGGCTCGTTGTACGAGGACGTAGACACAGCCAAGCGACTAGGAAGACTGACCTCTCTCTATTCACGATTTCGTCCAGAAGTGGCCATTGAGCAAAGGGCTAGCGGAGCGAGTGTAACTCCATCTTCGGGTATGAGGCTTGCGTGACAGACCCGGAAGGAAGAAAGCCATGTGTTTGGACCAGGCTGACAACGAGGCTGATAGACCTCCGTGAGGGTGAACTCGGCCAAGAGGATACGCCTGTGACAAGGCCTGTCAATCTCGAAGATTTCGAGAATTTCTCCCAGCTATGCGTTGTTGTGAGTGTGGTGAAGGTAGTGCCCGGAACAAATCTCCTTTTAAGCGCCATCGAGGTCGTAGACGGTGTGGTCAGGCTATTTCGAGACTGGTTAAGGGATCAAGAACAGAGGAGTAGTAGCGATACCCCCAGCTGCTCAAGCGACGGTCCAATTCTATGGGTCGACGCAAGCCAGAATGTAGGTCTCAAACTTCGAGTACGACAGAAAGAGATATCCGATCAGCAATTCCCTATTCTTGTGCATCGTGATGAGATGCCACCTGTTAATTATGAGGTGGACATTGAAGGTCTGGACTCTGGTGTTGCTGCTACTCCGCGAGCCAGAGCCGATGCTGACAACTATCGACTACAGAACTGCGTATCCGTACCACACGGCTGTTACTGGCTGTTGAACAGTCACAGCAGGAACAACAAGACTACACCAGGGCTGTGATTTTCACTCAGCCTCGGGCAGAATAGAGACTGAGGACCAATCCATGCTTATTTCTGTCATGAGTCTGCGTGGATACACCGTTTGAAGAGCGACTAGCAGCTTCTAACAGTATCAACAGGACGTCAAAGGATGCCAGATTGCACTCTCGTCATGGGAGAATGGTGTGTGTGACTTGCATATTTTCATAAGCTACTTGTTATGTGCACCGATATAGAATTATCAACTGGTTATATATCTCTCCGCGCAGACTATTTACGAGCCAGTTGTTGGGTTCAAAATGTTGTTGGACGTCTCTGTGGGTAGAAGTATTTCCTGCAATATACTTATAAGTCTTCCTCGTGAAACCTGAGGCTGTTTGAGCCGCCCATCAGTAGCTCCGGTGATTGATGCCTTGAATTCGCAGGCGCTTTCTCTTAAAGCGCAAGCCATTTTGCATCTATATAGTGGATGGCAATTTCTCTAGACATGTTAAGGTGAATACTTGAATTGTCTGCTGGACAAATCCTTAGCAAAGTAATGGCTTGTGAGCGAGCATTTCTAAGGGCATCCTCTGTAGTCGAGCTCTTCTCACAGTCAACAAACTTCACCTACCGTGCAACAGCTGCTTCCCCTCAAGTACCTGATTTGCTTGAATCTTTCCACACACCCATGGCAAAGATACATAATCAGCATGATGGAAACCCAAAGGCCCATCTAGAATCCTGCCGCTCAGAAGACGCATGATATTTCTTTCTCAGGTGTTTCCATACTGACTCTCACTTCAGAATTATCAGACTGATCGAAACGCAAAGCGCTCGTCGTCGACTCGACCTCAGAAATCTTTTATATTCTCCGCAAGAGTCATACAGCTAGTCCGTGCGAAACAAAGGAATGATCTGTGCTGAATATCCACGAAACGCAAAACGATTATTGTCGAACAGGATTTGTTTCTTGTCCACAATAATTCCTCCATCGTGCAGTCCAGAAGCAATCAGAAGAAGCACACGGTACAACAAATCTTGGGCATTTGTTCTTGAGAACACATAATGTCGTATTCAATTGGCCCGGCAGCAAACTTCCGGATATATCTTGAAGGTCGCCTAGGTGCCTGGTGGGCCCGCTTATCGGCAAAGATTTGCCGGTCTCAGACTCCAGGATATGGCGAAAATGAAACAGCGTTAATATCCAAGGGAACTATCATGGCAATGAGAAGAAGAGGCTTGATAATAACAGATGGTGATGCTACAAGTCCTCATGTCTTGACCATATATACTCAACCCATTTCTCGGCGAAGCCGGCCCATTTGATCGGTTTCAGGTACACCCCTGGGCCCAGTTGCCGAGGACTGGGTCCCGTTGCTTGTTTCTCCAAGCGAAGATTTCGAAGAATAAACCAGGTTTTTAGGGTGACGTTCAAGTCACCACGATGTCCGAAAGTATTTAAGCAGATTGAACTTCTCGTTGAAATCCAACATCTTGCCGGGATCCAAGAAAAATCAATGTCAACCGTATTGGTGACTGATAAGGGTCAGTATGCCTGCCTTCAAATTCAAGAGTGCTGGTGGAGACAAGAGGCGGACTTGTTTTTCATCTCACGGATACTGGACCCGCAACCTACAAGTGTCTCAAATAACATTCAAGCTTCTCAGTATTATTGCGTAAGGTATATTGACTAGCTGAGGTTTAGGCGACAAACTAGATCTCTGCAATCTCTGATTCGTGATTATGTTGGAATATAATCAATTTGGTCTGTCTTTCGCCTCTTGCCGAGGCTTCTTTCGGCACTCGATGCCGTTATCATATATGTATCATCTCATTATGTCCTGCAGTTACTCAAATATACCTGGCAATCTTCATTCATGTTGCGAACTGAGAAGAGGAAATGAAGATGCATCCAAGAAAGGAGACAACCTAATATTCAGAGAACAAAGCGCAGGCCAAATGATCTCTACAATCTCCAATCGAATCAGAATTTGATAGGTGAGTTTTATAAACTTTCTAAGATTCAATATGAACCTACTAGCTCTTGATTATGCGGTCACTGACAGAATATTACTGTAGTCGCCGCGCCAACTATGGCTGGATTTGAGGGCGAGGCGCCTCAAGCCTCCAAGATCCCGTATTGGCGCCTGGTCTTTGATCAAAAGGTGGTCACCGACGAAGTGATCAACCATCCTTACGCTGGGAGAGGCACCGATGATGACCCCTTTGTTGTTGTTTGGATTCCTGGCGACTCGCGCAATCCCATGAATTTCAGCTCTATCCTGAAATGGTCGCTCACGATCCTGGTCTCCTTGACTACCCTGACGATTGCATTGATATCCTCTGCCTATTCGGGAGGCATGGCCCAGGTCATGAAAGAGTTAGGCTCGTCAAGAGAAGTCACCACTCTGGGAATATCCCTTTTCGTCCTTGGTTTTGCGTTCGGACCGCTGATTTGGGCACCGATGAGCGAAGTCTTTGGCCGTCGTAACGTTTTCACCATCACTTTTTGCTTACTTACAGCCTTCAATGCTGGATGTGCCGGTTCTGAGAATATCCAAACATTGATCATACTGCGATTCTTGGCAGGTTTCTTCGGGTCGTCTCCCTTTGGCAATGCAGGTGGAAGTATTGCCGATATGTTCCCCGCCGCCAAACGGGGCATTGCTATCAGCCTCTTCTCTGCCGCACCTCTTTGCGGACCAGCTATCGGTCCAATCATCGGAGGTTTCCTCGGCTCTGGCGCTGGTTGGCGCTGGGTGGAAGGGTTCTTGGCCATCTTTTCGGGTGTCATTTGGATATGCCTTTGTGTGTTTCTGCCCGAAACATACGCCCCCGTCCTCTTACGCAGGCGCGCTGAAAAGCTCTCTGAACTGAGTGGCAAGGTCTACCGTAGTAAGCTGGACATCGAACGAGGTAAGCTGTCGCTGCAGCAGACTTTGACTACAGCGCTGTCGCGACCATGGCGACTTCTCTTCCGTGAGCCTATAGTGTTTCTATTTTGCATATATATGGCCATCATCTACGGCATTCTATACCTTTGCTTCGCCGCCTTTCCAATCGTCTTCCAGGAGGCCCGTGGTTGGAATGAGGGTATTGGAGGATTGGCTTTCCTAGGAATCCTGGTCGGTATGATTATCGGTGTCATCTACACATTTCCAGAAAACATGCACTACGCCAAATTATGCAGACAAACAACGGGTCGCCTTCCTCCCGAGGTCCGTCTGCCTCCAAGTATCGTCGGCGCCATTGCCTTGCCCATCGGTCTTTTCTGGTTCGCCTGGACCAACTCGCCCTCAATTCACTGGATGGCCTCGATTGCCGCCGGAGCACCCTTTGGGTTTGGGCTAGTTCTCGTGTTTCTCAGCGTATTCAACTACCTGATCGATGCATATACCATCTACTCTGCGTCTGTTCTCGCAGCAAACTCCGCCCTCCGGTCTCTCTTTGGCGCAGCCTTTCCCCTCTTCACTAGCTACCTCTACTCAGGGCTGGGTAAGTCACGTGATACCACACATCGTTCGACCTCATTGCTAACTACTACTCAGGGATCCATTGGGCGTCATCGATTCCTGCGTTCCTGGCACTGGCCTGCGTCCCGATACCCATTGTATTTTATCTATATGGTGCGCGCATCCGGAAGCGCTGCCCCTACGCCGCCGAGGCCGACGCATTCATGCAGCGTCTTGCACAGAGCAATCAGCAGGAAGTTCGGCGCGAAGAGCCTGTCATCGAGAAGCCCAATGCTGAGGTGGAAGCTGCTGCGGTTGACGTGGAAAGCGATAGTGAGACTACCAGCCTGTCTAGTGTTCCCTCTGCGATTGATATGAGCAGGAGGGTGTCTCGAGCTTCGAAGATGTCTGGGCGCTCGCTGGGTTGCATGGCGACTCAGTACGAGGAGAATCCGTATGATATCGACCGAGTAAACACTCACACTTCTACTATTAGTGGACGCGGACGTTGTCAGGAGGTTTAGTCGGAAATGGTGATGTGCATTAGTTTGCCTTACCTCAGTGATGCCCCATGTCTCGCCTTATGACTTTGGTCATTTGACTCACTCTCCGTCAAATTCTGTTTAGGTGCCTGTCACCGCGCAGATTATAGCTACATGATAGCAGGTATTCATGGCTGTTGTTCAGCAGAATGTGCGTGCTATGCCGCAGGACATGTCGGGAGAACATTTGTCTAAGGCCTCTATGGTTCAACATACCACGACCTCGTAAGGTATTCATGCCCGACCCAATTGTACATAGACGAGTTTGGATCGAACCTAATCAATATTCAATACCAAGTTTGCCCGACATCGGTCGCTCGACGCAAAGTATACCATTGACTTAGACACACGGGTAACGTAGTCCTAGCCATATATGCCTTTTCCAAAAGAGTACGTTGATTCGAGACTTGCGCAGCAGTGTCTTATACTCCAGACTTTCAATCTCACATCCAATCCTTTGTATCGACGTGAGTTCGCGCATTCCGTCCGTAATCCATACGCAGGTCTGCTGCAGGACATATCTGATATAAGATGCAATATCTAGTAGAATATCATCTTTGGGACTCTCTCAGTCGCTTGATAAATCAGTATCATCCTGTCATTCATCCGGGACTCGGGTAAATCTTCTCATATCGTACAATCGGAGGGCTCCTAAGAAACGATGTAGTAGTTAGCAAAAGGAGTATCCGAGTCTCGGCTCCTTCCGTGTATTCATGGGTTTCCTTTTACTGCGAAGGAAGATAGGGATCTATTTTTGGTGATCATGTCTGTCGATACCTGCATTGTCCGGGGCTGGGGCAACGGGCTGTTGGTAGCAGGGCCTGGAAACGATTAAAAGAGACTTTCTATTGTTGGTAGAGGGGGGCTGGCCATGTTCTAGCTTTCTTATCGCCGTCACAAGGGCATAAAGAAATCAGTGTATGGAGACAGAACAAAGATGGATCGCTCCTGTGACTTCACTGACATGACCGTACGGCCAAATGATTCTTTTCAACTTAGGTACATCGCTGCCAGGGCATAGTATTCCTATGAGTAGTGAGCACCAGCACTTGACAGTTCTGACTGACGCCGA